TATTAGAGAGTATGTTTGTATTTTATTTCAACCTATGCATACTAGATTTTCAACTAGCCGCAGTTGTTGTGATTTTTTGGGTTTTTTTTCGATTTTTTTGGATTTTTTTGTTTTTTCTGAATTTTTCTCCCTTTTTCTTTAACGAAATTTAACGGACAGCTGATAAAAATTAACGAACCGGATTTAACGGACCGGATGGCACCCTTGAGTGGCCACCTCTAATCCTCACCCGCGCTTGGCGACGGGCGGCCCCGAGCCCGGTGCAGCATCGCCGACCGATCCTTGTGTCCCTGCTTCTACGCATTCTGGACGTCGGCCTGACCACCGAAGACGGGCCCACCCTTCGGGCGGCGTGTGCGGCCCACCTCGACTACATTTTCTTTAACAGGGCCCAGTCGGGCCATTACATCTTGGTCGACGATGTTCGCATCGATGAGGAGGTCGTGGTTTTTCGCGAGCGCAAGACCAAGCTGCGCCCGGGGGAGGAGCCCCGGTCGCGCTATCGATCGTGGCCTTCTCGCGGCGCTCCCGAAGTCGTCGCCCTTTTGCGCCGCTGGACTCGTTTTCGGGATCAAGCTTGGGCGCAAACGGACCAGCAGCCGCGCCATTTCTACCGCCTGCCCGGTGACGCCACCCCTTCGTCCAAGATGGTGGCCTCCTGGTTTACGTCCCTGCTCGCGCACTTTCCGGACCTGGCCCACGAGCCCTTCACGCATCATGGCCTGCGCGGTGGGGGCGCGTCCAGCTGCTTCGCCTTGGAGGTCGCGGAGCGGCGCATCCGGGATTGGGGTGGGTGGAAGTCAGACGCTCTGTGGTCCTACATTGATATTTTCCGTTTACCCACTGAGTGGGATTTTTGGCTGTTTGGTTGGATGACCATCACCGCCCGCGACCTGCATGAGCAGTTTGGGCACATCTTCTGCCCCGGAGGGGCCTCGCGTTCCCTAGAGTGACTGGGCAGGTTTAATGGACGGGAACCTCGGGAATGTGACGATTGACAGTTGTTTGTAATTATTGTCATGGGGTACATGACGGGGTGGGCTCAGGAGACCGGTAAGGCAGAAATGAAGTTAACTATCCTGTTAATGGGTTTCTGCCAAGGGCGACGTTGGGTGGGCTGCACCGGCGATTCAAACGGTGCAGTTTGAACCTGGGGTTTACTCAACCCCGTCCCTTGGGATTTCTGGCTACCCCTAGTACCGTGGGTCAGTCAAAGTACGGTATTCCGAGGTGCCGCCCGCGAGGGCGCCCTCGAGTTTGGTGGGCTTTGGCGGGGTGGCGGAGGGCGGCTATTTAGGCAGCCCCTCGGTCCCCCTCCTTATCTTGTTTCGCACCCAGCCCTCCCGCCCTGGATAGTGGAGTTCGGGTTAGTTGTGGGATGGTGAGGGAGTTGAGGGAGTGAAGTACGGGAAAGGGAGCTGACTCATGGGGAGTCACTCACTGAAGTGGCATTGAAGTACTAGCGAAGCGAATGGGCAGGTTTAATGGACGGGAACCTCGGGAATGTGACGATTGACGGTTGTTTGTAATTATTGTCATGGGGTACATGACGGGGTGGGCTCAAAAGACCGGTAAGGCAGAAATGGCACACTTGGGGGCTTTGCTTCCGGGGCTAGACTAATGATACGATGGGGCCCTTGCCCGACTAGTTCGCTGCCCTTCACCCTCGCCGTTTGTGTGGGCGACGAGAGAGGGACTGCAACCCGCGAATCACGCCAGGCGATGCACCATGCCTTCCCTGGCAGCACTTGAGAGCAAATTTGATAGTTTGCAATCGTGAGTGCCGCCGTTCTAGATGTGAGAACCGTCGAAACCAGACCCACACCGCACGCCCTGGGGCTGGCGAGGTTCAGCCGAAGGTTAGGTGCCTATCGTGTGGCTACTGTCACGCTTTCCTACCGGCAGGAGCGAGGTCAGGAATGTCGGGACCGAAACAGGGGACGTCTCAAATACTGCGCGACGACAAGGAAGCTAACATAAGAACACAGGGCGCGTTCAACAGACACCAAAGCAAGCATCCACTTGGAAAAGCACAAACATAGAGGAATGATGCAGGGCTGCTGCGTGTTTCGACGTCCGCCATGGACCCACCGCAGGTGGCGGGCGTGGGGCAGAATCTGCAGGCACTCACAAATTTGAAACGGCCCCACATCAGCGCAAATCGGTAGTCCGCAACTGGCAACCGGTATTCACACGTTCCAGCACGTTACAATCATTGTTGGCTCGTCCCATCAGATCCGCGTTCGATGAAGGAATATGGGGCCAGACCCAGTACCCATTCAATCCCCCCTTCTTAGGCACTGGCCTGCTGGCACATGGTCACACACTGGCAAGGCTGTCGTCTGTATCACCCCACTCGCTGGTGTGAGCGGTCGGCCGGTGACGATTGGCCCAGCCCCTCAAGCTGTGCCATGTCAATAGCTACTCGCAGGTTGCTTGGACAAGTCGACCTCCGCGCCCTGCCCAACAATACGCCCTCCAAATTCTACTTCCCCAGCTTCCCGCCCGCCGTCATCCCCAACGACCCTATGGACGGGCATCTAACCGTCGACGACTCAAAACACGAAGACGATACCATCGTGTATCCTGCTCTTCTGATCCTGGGACACGCACTCCGCTATCCACATTATGTTCCGTATCTCCTGCTCCCTGAGCTTCATGTAGGCGTAGAACACGCCGTAGTGGAACTGTTGCTCAAACGTCAGCACGGAGCGCCGAACCTCTTCTTCGTACAGCAGCTTGTCGAGCATCTGGCTCTCGCCATAGCTCATCTGTGCAGCCACAAGCAACACTGAATGCTGCCTTTCGGCCAAATGTGCTAGCAGCGCATCTTGGCATATCGGGGGACCCCAGAGTGCGCGTTTCGCTGCTGTGCGTCCTATGCTGTGTTGTGCGCTTTGCGCCTGCACTTGGAGAGGAATCGTCTGCAAAAATTGTCGACGGCTAAATCCTTGGCCGTTGCATTGCAAGCACAGGCAGTTGGGCCGCGCCGTCCACGATGATCTTATTTTGGACATTCTGCATGTCAGCCCATGCCCAACATAGCATTTCAGGGGTGTGTCTTGTCACTCTTTACCAACAGAAGTGAAAGGATATACACATCACAGACAGTGGCCAGTTTCCTAGTGGGTTTTGGAATGCATGGGAAGCGCCGCAACCTGTACGCGACACTGACGCAGCATTGGCTGAGGCAAGCAGTTCAGGTCAAGGCTACCATTGTCCAGGGTCGCACAAGCCACATCCTCCAAAACATGTATGCACCAATTTCACTACCTTCAATATTCTGACCGCCAAATCAAACCACCATCTTCCATTCTCTCCATGCCAAGAAGTGCGACTTGGATTGCCTCTGGCTGCATTTTTCATAATGGGTAAACCATCTTTCCACCCACAAGGCAACATGGAACACTTTTCAATTGAACACGAGGTCATATTGGCTAAGTCACGCCAGATCTGGATTATTGGCTAAGTCACGCCAGATCTGGATTATTGGCTAAGTCACGCCACGCTCTGGATGAAGCGCAAACACTGAGTTGTTCAGGACACCAGACGGTCGGCGGGTTCAATCTTCAAGCCATGCATTTCGCTTGTGCGCACGCACCCTGCTGAAGATCGGGATGTAGGCTGGGCATTTCTCCATCGCAGCCCTGACTTGTTCAAAGTCTTCAGCCATCGACAGCTCCTGGTGGCCATGTGGGTACAGCAGCCCAAAGTTGGAGTACAATTTCCGGCGATCGTCAAACGTCAGCTCGGTTCCAATGCTGTTCAACGTGATGTTCAAGGCACGGCGGTCAGCCTGAGCAAACGAAGCCATATGGGGATCATCAACGACCTCACAGGGACCTCATGGGGAAGTTAGCCAAAACACAGGGATGGACACCACATAACCACCACAGCGTCCACATTGTCCAAGGAGCCTTGTGCACAACTAGGTTTAGGGAGAACAGAAGGCCAATATTCGGATGCTGCTACACTCATCAGTTCCTGCAAGATGCAAAGCTTGCAATTGATCATGTTATGCTCACAAACTCTATTCCAGGAAATTAGTCCCAAAGAGCCCCACAGAGCCAGCAATGATTGTGGGTTCACTTGTCTCACGTCAGCCCAGGTGCCTGCTTGACACAGAAGAGTGTTGTGTGGCCCAGCAACAGTCAAAGAGACCAGCCATGCTTAAACACGCCTACCCATTGTGGTGAAGGGTGATCACAACTCCAGGAAAGAACTTCTACAAAGAATGAAAATCGGCTGTGGGGGCATGTGCAGGAAGACACCAATGCACAGCAACATAAAGCAGCACAACAGCCACACAAGATGGCCAATAGTCCTGGTGGGCTGTTGCTGTGGCATGCAGCCACTCACTGCAAGTTGCACAGGTACCATTCAACTGCAGAAAATCTAACAAGTGCTCACCTAAGCTGCATGGCTAACATGCTCACCCAAGGTACAATTCCCAGGTCACACTCACGAGAGTCCTTTCAACGAAGCAGCCATCACAATCACCAGAACGGCTGCTGTATGGGAGACTGGAAAGGTTTGATTATTGGCTGTGTGGTTGCCTGCCATTGCCAATTAGGGGCACACTTTGGCCCTCAAAAGACATGTGTGAATCAAAGGAATGCAGCCTGGGCTGTTTCACAGTAAGGGCCGGACATGGCCTGCCGAGGGACAGTCCATGCTGCTGCCGTGCAGCTTTAGCAGAGGTGGCTAACGGCGAAACACATAGCAAAGTAGCGCAAAGCTATATCCCCTGGCAATTCCAAGCTTTGGCAGTACCGTTCTCTGCTGCACATGATCTGCTACAGCTCATGCACCCAGAAGCTCTTTGTTATGTTGTGTTCAGGCTTTCTGGACTGCTCACATCAGATCCACGGGATGTGCTGATCCGAAGTTGCCTCAGTATAGTTATTCATTAGCGATAGGTGAAACAGTACTGAGCTTTGCCACGTTGTGGGTGCAAGGAAATATTTGTCCCTTTGTGGGGCATGAAACGTACCTCAAAGGCCAACATGTCCCCCATCACCTCCGCAGTGCTCCCTCCAATCTTTTGGCACACTTGGGCAAAGTCGTCAAGGTATGCCTTGTACAGCGTGTTCCTCATGATCTCCACATTCATCTCGTCCAGGTCCTCCGATGTCAAGTTCATCGAAAAGTATGGAGCCAATGGTGTGTCGATGAGTACAAGGCGATACAGTTCCCGCATGCTTGTTGCAACCGCCAGTGTTGCGATGCTGTCGAACATGCCCAGCGGATGGCACTTCTCCAGCAGCTCCTGCAATAAGAACCCAAGCTTTTGCATGCAAGCGGCCATGAATAACAGAACCACACTTCCACCATGAAGCTGTGAAACGTGCTGCATCCCATGAAAGATGCATGGCTAATGTTGGGCTCCGTTGGTTGGTGGTGCCCAACACTGTTGGACATTCCTTGTCTGTGTACATGTTGACCAAGTTGCATTCCCACGACAAGTGGCTGCATATGGCTACAGTGTAGTCACTACACACTTCCCTTGCAGGTTTTCAGTAGTGCTCTTGGGGCTCTTCCCGACAGGCAGGGGAACAGTTAAGATGCTAAAAGTCAGCCTACGATGCCCTGCCATTCCACTGCCGCACCCAGCAAGATCCGCACAACTACAGATGCTTGAAGCACAATGGGCCTATGCCATGTTTGCTGTACACTACTGGCAGCACCTGTGCGCAACCAGACCCACCGTGTGATCCCGGTCATGCATGGTGCCAGTGACGATCAACACCACATTGTCGATCATGTGGCCATATGTGCAGTAGTCCAGGAAGGTTCCAAGCTGCTCATCGGCCTGCAATGCACACTTTTTGATATCAAACTCGGCGTTGACCATATGTATAGATAAGGTTGATACCATCGCAACATGTGTAGGCTTCACAAATCTGTGACATCTGGAGCAATGATATGTTCTGCAGTTGACTTTCCCTTTGGCTGCAATCACCTTTGCAGTGCACAACAGGGGGGTTGCACCTCTGAGAATACATGGGTTTCAGGCAATGCCACGACATACGTTGTGGTTATCAACATTCAACAAGAGCAGCGCCGCATCAAACGGGAAAATTCCTGGAGTGTCAGTCCTGAGCTTGCCACCGTGCAACTAGCAGAGTGCTTGCTCAGCAGCAGCTGAGGGTAGAGCTGTTCAGAAGCATGGCAGCGCGCCATTGCCACACAACAATGTCTCCAGACACTATTTGCCCCAACAAATTTTGAAATATGTGGAATGCCGGAAATGAAAACTCCAATTTCCAAAAAGAATGCCAAGATGTTTGCAGATAATGGAAGACAGGACGGCTCATCCCATCACTCTCTGTAGCCTTGTTTCAGCAACAAACAGCTTGTGACATTTCAACCACTTGCTGGACAAGTTTGGCTCTCCTCCCAACTCCCATCAAGCCGTGCATCTCACATGCGCTCGCATATGGCTCCAATCATCAACCAACTTTTGCGTGCACCGCTCCACGATGGTGCTGGTGTTCAACGTGGCAGGAACGTCCTTGAGGTACTCCCCGTAGTCAGTCGCCGTCTGTGCAGAGGCGCGACCAAATCTCAGCTGGCTAGAAGCACGCAGCCACGCTCCTCCCCACTCCCCCCCTTGCTGGGGACTGCGAGGGGATGTTCAGATCAATCGCCGCGCTGCGATCAGCAATCACGGACTCCGACCACAAGACGTTCTCTCAAACAGCGCTAGCGGCATCTTGGGCACTTTGGGCGCGCAGCGGCCTGCCCACAACCCCCGATCGCGTTTCACCGCCCCCAGGCCGCGAGCGTTCGGTCGCCCGGCACCGCGTCCGAGCGGCCGCAGATCCCATCGCCCGATCCCCCGCCCCCGCGTGCCGCCGCGGCGCACCAGGTTCAGCTTGATGTCGTCCAGCGTCTCGCACTGGCACAAGTTGTTGTAGTCCGCTGCCGTGAGAAGGCCAGTCTTGTGGCCGCGCACGATGCCCTCTGCAAAATCGCCCCGCCCCGCGCCGAGTGAGACACTCGGATGACATCCAGAGGGGAGTCAAGAAACAGGGAGCCGGGGGAGGGGGAGGGAGCGCCTTCTCGGATCGCCTCACCAAGGTAGCCATCCTTGATGTTGTAGGTCAGGGCCTCGAATCCGTAGCCCATTGTCGCGCGGATGGTCAGCGGGGTCGGCGGGTTGGAGTGGGTGCCCGGGGCGCGCAGCCCGCCGCCCGCAGCCCGCCGGTGAGGTGTCGGGCTCGGGCTGATGGACCCGTTCGGTGTGTTGGTCTGCTGGGGGCCGGTTAAGGGCAGGCGGTCGCTGAATCCGTGCCGTGGTCACACACTGATGCAGGGGGCGCCTGATTGAATGCCTTAGCGCAATTTCCGACGGGAATTCTCAAGCCAATCTGTGGGGATGGGTAATGGAACAACACATCAAGCGTGGTGGTGACGAAGGCATGCAGGGTCAAGGGGAGGCGACCCCTGAGCGGTGACCGTAGGTTCGAGTCCACGGCAACGGCTTGCAGCCGAGCAAAGGGACAACAGCAGTTCTGTCCCTTGTTTGTATCCAGTCCGTTCATGAATGTCCTCATTTGCAATTCCTAATGGCCCATCATTTCTTCATGCGTCCAACTCTTAATATTACTAAATCAGTTCTAGCTACAACAGTGGCACGCAAAGGCCATGAAAAAGCCAGGCAGCAAACTGCAGCAAACTGCGTTTTCCTGAAATGGGACGAAAAAAACAGGAGAATGGGATTGCGCCTGGTTGCAGGAAGGAACAGACACACGGTGGGCAAGGGAGAACGGACGAGTTTCAATTTTTGCATTGTTAGGCAGATAAATAAACACAAATACACAACTACACAGACAAATAAGCCTTGATGGAGGACTGGGAAGGCATTGAAATAGAATAGGACAATGTGTTGTGATAATTTGTGTTTCTACTAAGTACTTCTGAAGAAGTGCTTGGGAGTGAGAAATTGTGCAACAAATAGATTCTGGATGCCATCCAGAACTTCCGAGTGATAGATAGAAATAGTTGGGAGATCGTCAAGAGATGTTCGAATGAGCGTCTAAGTACCTCTGAACGGTAGCCACAGGTTGGAAACATATGTCTGAATTCCCGCTTAGTGGCTTGGTGAACTTTGGCCCAAGTAATTGTCGGCGGTATCCAAACGTGGAAGAGACAACAATAGGTGGGCTGGCAATAGCTATACATTTGGTTGGGCGGTTGGGTCGTTCAACCACCACATTCGGGTGGCTGGGGGGCTCTGCCGCCACCCTTGGCACCATCTTTTGGTAATTGGTCGTTGCCTGCCCCTTCCCCTTGTCTTTATTATAGACCATGCACGTAGAATATAAGGGATGCCAGGTGCGCTGTGGCAGCTTGTCGAACAGTAACCACAATTGCCATTGGCCGAATCTATGCAAATCCTCAGTTCGCAAGCAATTCATAGATCCTTTCAGTGACATGCAAAGTTTTGCTACACGGAGTGTCTGACACATTATGTGTCTGTACCGGCAGCGCCTGCCCACCGCCTTGGGCTATTTCAAACTCCTGGCTCCCAGGAGCAACGTTTCCGCAACGCTTACTGTAACCCATCTCGAAGAGAGGGGCGGGTCAACCACGCAATCAAGCTGCTTGTTATCAGAGACAATCGCTTGGGGATCTCGCACAAGAACAAGCGCCTTGTGCACAGCTGTGGCAGTTCATGCAAATGAGCGCAGGATGTGCTTCTGTGGCGCAGACGCAACGTAGCAGAGGATGCGGAAGTCAACCATCTTCACGTGGATGTTCAGTTTGGAGTATAGAATCCAAGCGGTCAATAATGCTGGTGTCTTCAACAGTTTCATTGCGCATCATATGTCGTAGCCTCCACGCCCATTGCAATTAACATAACCCAGTTTTGGTGTGCTTCTTCTCGCACGCAATATAGCAGCTCTCAGCGTCGACCATCCCCACAGGGTGGCATGGCTGCCAGATGCCGCGGTAGAATCATTAATTTGCCCGCTCAATAAAAATGCGTCCCCGAAATGCCGCGTTGCAGGTACGCCCAACCCAAGCCGAGCCACGCAAGCAGCTTCTCGTGTTCTTGACATTCGTGCGCTCTACCTGCCACAGCTTTTGGCAGCTACAGCGCCCTCGGCCCATGGATCTGCTGGGCAATACCCCACAAGCGTACATTTATCTCTGTACCAAATAATATTGATTCTGGCACCAAACTGCCGCTGTACCAAATAAAATTGAAACTAGTACCGATGCATGTTCAATTTGGTGCCGCATTCGCGCCGGCACCAAAAATATTGACCTCAGTACCAATTAGTCATCGAATAGCATGCTGCAACCAGCACTGGGCGTGTGCTTGGTTGGCTTAAGGTTCAGCATTTAGGTTTTATGAGCCCTGTATGGCGGCGGCGATTTGATGACTAACTGGTACTAGGTTCAACATGTTTTGATGCACCATTCAACATTTCTTGGTTCCGGCGCGAATTGGGTACCAGATTCAATACTATTTGGTACGCAATTAATTAGGTTCCTATTTCACATGCATGAGTAATCACTCATGTGGCTACCATGGGGTAACCGTTATAACCACATGCGCAGCAACAGCGCCCCGCCCCCCCTCGCGGGATGCTCAACATCAGCACGGGGTCCCCTGGTTCCTGCGCGCAGACCGAGGAGCATTGTTGCCTCCACAACTCCGTGGGCTCAACACATCTGGCGATGCTGGTGCTGTCGTAAGCGTGTTTCATAATACGTAGGTGGTGTTTCGTGCGAGCTCACAAGCCCAGAACTCCGAGGGTGGGATCCCTAATTCATTGCCAGTTGCGTGGCCCCTGACCCCACCGCGGTGGCTTGCTGTAGCATATATCGTGCCAGCTTCAAGTTCTTATTCAGATTCTGCTACAGATCCCTGCTGTGCTTTTGGTGCGTTCGCTGTGTATGCTCTGTTTTGGCGGTCTCTGGCTCGCCAGAGACATTCTACATATTATCGCAGGAATTGATACAAAATATGTGGCCAGTTTTTGAAGCCCTCAGCCGCTCGCGAGGTTTCCACTTATGTATGCAGCTCATCGCACTATCAGGGACCTGAATGCTGATGTCTCGTACCATTCTTTTCATGACGGCAGTTTTCGACGTGCCCACGCCTCATTGACAATTGTGTAAGAGTAAAAGAGGTGGCAAAATCCATCACCTCCAGAGAAAGAAGCATGTTGAGCAATGGACATGGATTTAAGCCCTCACTTGGCCACAATTGTGATGTTCTATGAGTTCTATGATTGTACAGTAACCAAAGCTTTTGCAGTTAACGACATAATCGTGCATAAAAGTGAAGGCTGTTGAAGAGAGCGAGACTCCAAATCAGTCAATGGAAAGTGAAAGTGGATTGGCAGGGGGCCAAGCTGTCATCCTGCGTTCAAAACCGAACCTTCGAAAATGGTACACACCGGTTCTCGTTTCGGTGGATCGAGCAACTCATAAGTCGCAAAGCGCCGCATCCAATGCCCCATGAAGACAGCTCGGTCCATCAGGCCCTTCGCCGATGCGAAAAGAATTTAATACCTTCCACTTGATGCAAGAAGCATTCGAGGTTCACTATCTTCATGCACAAGAACTGAAGTCAACAAATGCGCTCCTGAGCTCAACATATTCGCTGCCCGCAGTACCGACGCGCCAACCCCCCGTTCGGTCGAATCCCTTCAAAAAACTTATACTGCCGCGGGAGTCCATCGCCTGCATCAAACTTGCGAGATGAACTCATCGAGCTACAGACGGCCAACAGCCGCCTCGGCAGGAACTTCCCTCAACACGAATTCTGCACGCTTTGCAGGAATGCACCGAGTTTGTTTCCAGCCGCCGTTCAGCCGCCCTCCCCCTCCAGGCACGCGAACGCCGGCTTGGATATGGCCCGCACGGCAATGCGCGGGGCTGGCGTCCCCGGCGCCAGCTCCCCCGCGTGGTCCCCGTACAGCAGCTCCAGCGGCAGCACCAGCGACGGCCCCTCCCCCTCCCCGCCGGCAGCAGCCCCAAGCGTCACGTCCACCAGGGGCGCCTCCGAGTGCCGGGACAGCAGCAGGGCCCTGACCCCGTGGCCGCTCCCGCAGACGTCCACCTTGACGACTACCGCCAGGGAGGGGCCGTAGTCGTCGGCCGCGAACCACACGCGCCGCACCTTGGCCTCCGCCGCCTCCAGGCTCTGCCCCACCGCCGCCTCGAGCACCAGGTGCAGCCCCGTGGCCCCTGGGTCAGGCGCCGCCTTCAGCGCCCGCCTGCTCGCCCAGCCGCAGTCGGCCTCGTGCAGGCGACCGCCCACCCGCCGCGGCCAAACGCCCTCCAAGTTGTAGCTGGGCAGCAGCGTCAGCTGGGGCGGCACGGAGTTGCGCACCGCCCATTTGGTGAGCTCCCTGGACAGGGAGAACGCCACGCCCTCGTGCACCGCGCTGGGGCGCTCCACCACGTACAGGTCGCCTCCGCGGTCCTCCACGTACTTGAGCACGGACGCTGACGGGTGGGAGGCCTGGAACTGCTCCGCGTCCTCCCACCTGGCGCCCTCCAGCCTCAGCGGCAGCTGGTCGGGCCGCACGTCGGCGGGGGCGGGCCACCTCCAGGCCGCCGGCGAAGCCCCGGCGGCCATCCGCGGGGCGGTCAAGGCCGGGGTTCAGCAGCCGCTGGGATGGTGCTGTTCAGAGTTTGTTGGCTGGAATGGTGCTCAGGGGCTGGGCTGCCCTCTTCCTTGCCCCTGGCCAGGTGGGACAGCCCGTCAGGGGTGCCCGGTTCGATCCCCGGTTCAATGGTCCTCTTGACCGCCCGCACTTCGACAGTGTCGCGGTGCGCGATGCGCGGCCGATGTGCTCTGTCCCCTGTTTGATGGACGGAGGTTTGCCGAGGATGGGGCGCAGCTCCCCGGGGCTCCTTTGGGGGAGGATGTAACTCGCCGTCGTGGGTTGTGGTGTGTGGCGCGCATCGATCCGCACGTCTCAAGTGCCAGACCCCCCGTCAGCGTGGTCAAGGCTTGATGCTTGCTCAAGGCTTTTTGCTGCAGCGGATCGTGGGTCCGTATTCATCCGGACCAGATGAATACACGTCTTGTATGCGTACCATACATTGGCTGATGTCTTGAGTGACGTCTTGCACGCGAGCCGGCGTCTGCAGCTGGCAGTCTGCTGGCCTGATGTAGCAACATTAGTGGGTGCCACAACCCGTGGGGGACTCGCGCCCCACACGAGTACATCCCTGCGACGCAGGGAGCTACGTTAGAGGGCTGCAGGTTTGCGGCAATGATGTTGGTGGTGCGTTTTCGGCTGACGCTGAGGCAATGGCCCGGGAACAGTGCGTCAGGCGCCAGGCACACAAAGAATTTGCTGATTGTGCGCGACATGCACATGGTTGCTGCCGTTGATTTGTTGCGCTGCAACAATTCGCTCCCACAACCGGGGATGGGCCCATGGCTAATGGGCAAGAGGTTCCAAACCTGAAAACAGCGACTGCACTGGACAGAGGCGCAGGCCTCAGTGGAGGTGTCGCCTGTTGCAAGGGCTCCTCACTGCACCTCCCTGTCGTTGGGGTAACGAACAAGCATTCAGGTATCATTTTCCCCTCAACACTCGCCACAAGTCATGCCAGAAAAAGATGGGCACAACGATCATCGCAGTCCAACAATCGCAGCGACTATGGCAAAGATACATCCAATCTTCACTGCATGATACCAATGTTCCAAATCTCATACCCAGACATCACACTACACTACAACCGCCACAACAGTAGGAACGTTTAGTTACATTTTTCAACTCCAAGCATCGAGTTCATTGGTTCGATCGACCCAGTTCTTAGCCAGACTGGCAATCAGAAACTGAAACTGACAGAGCCAGAGTGAAACCACCAGCAGAATCAGGCGTCCAAAGTTTTCTGTAAAACGGATAAAATGGGGCATTGTTGCAGCACAACTATAGTCAGCGAGTACCAAGAAAAGGATGCCATGCACTAGGGCACCCCAGGAGCCCAAATGAACAAAGCACAGAGCCTCCACAGGAAACATCCGTGCGCAGCCAGTACTCAGATGGCCGCCTAGTGACAATTGTCAGAGGTCAAACTTAAACAGCGGGAAACTTTTCAAAACACTGCAGATTCTGCACGCGATTTCCTGTGCCAGCAGCAAGCACAAAACAGCCACCACCACCACGTGGCCACAGCTGATGCACAGCGCACGCCATCCACTCAAAATTTGTCGGCTGTTCTCCCAGCGGGTCGTGGGCAAAAGGACAGCTGTCCGGCGACTCGCCCGGATGCCGTCTCTGGCGCAGGCATGGCGGTCTAGTAGCTGCCCGAGGGTGCCATGTTGGCGATTGGCGCCGTCTCGAACTTCTCCTTCACCTGGACGCCCTCCCCTTCCAGCACGCCCAGCATCGGCCGCTTGATCTTCAGCAGGTCCAGTCGCGGGGGCGACAAGCCGGCCGGCAGTTCGCTCGCGTACCTCCCGTACAGCTGCTGCAGCGGCAGCGTGATCAAGAACTTGGCAAGGCCAGGTTTGTCGCACCCCGTGCCCCACCCGAACTCCACGTCCTGCATGGGCCTGTCCTGGTCCTTGGCCAGCAGCACCGCCCGGAACCCGTGCTTCCCGCTGTCCCGCCTCACGGTGATCTTGATCACCAGCGCCAGGTTGGGCCCCGCGGATCCGGACGCGAACCAGACATCGCGCACCTTACTCACGGCGCCCTCCAGGCTCTGGCTCACCGCCGTCTCGAGCACCAGGCACAGCTCCGCGCTTCGGGGGTCCCTACTGGCCGACAGCGCGCGCATGGTCGTCCAGGCACCGTCGGCCTCCTGCGCCCGCCCCTGCACCCTCCGCGGCCATGGGCTGGGCATGTTGTACATGTTGTACATGGGCACCAGGCCCATGTCCGACCCCACGGGGTGGTGCACCGCCCACTTGGTCAGCTCAGTGGCCAGAAAGAACACCACGCGCTCGTGGCGCCCCAGGGGGGACTCCACGATCGCCAGCCCGTCCGGCCGCTCCTCCACGTACTTGAGGATCTGGGCGTCCGGGTCGGCGTCGTGGCAGCGCTCCACGTCCGCCCACTTGGCGCCCTGCAGCCGCAGCGGCAGCTCGTCCTCCGCTACGTCCTTGGGCATCGGCCACGGCCAATGACGCTTCTTGGAGTCGTCGGACATGGAGGACGTCGCGGCGGGCCACACCTGCGCGGTGCTGGCCATGGGGCGCGGGACTCGGACAGGCTTTCAAGGATGTCTCTGCACACCCTGCGATGCAGCCGAAAGGTGAGGCGCCCGGCGACGATTCGGTGAGCACTGTGGAGGGGGCGCGGCCGCGGCGACGCCAGGACGTCTGTACTCTGTCTGCTCCAAATTGTTCTCAAGCATACCTGGGGAGCCTGCGTGACTCCTGGAAGAACGGCTTCGACCTCGCGACGCTGGAGACAGCCCAACTGGTGCCGTGTCGACGCTGGCGGAGGCAGCGAATAACTGCCTGGCCGCCGCAGGATGCAAAATGGCAAAATGGAACGCTCACCACCGCGGGTCAGCGCCAAGAGAACATGCCCCCAGCTGTCCAAGTCGCTGCTCCCATAACAGTGGCGACAATGGACCCCGCCGTATTTCACCAGCTCTCTCGCAGAAGCCAAGGTGTACAACAAAAGCGAACCAACCCCGCTGATACAATAGGGCCTGGGACTGCTGGGCCTGCGACTATGGGCGTGTTTTCACAACATTATTGGGCGAGCACCGGCAGTGGTCTCGTAAAGCGCATGGCCGCAGCCTGTCTCACGAGGCCCGGCCACTGGTCCCCGTCAACGCTGCCGCTATCTCGGCCTGACCACCGACAGAAACGGGGCCGAATACAGTCATCACCACCAGGAACGAAGTAATAGACAGCAGTCGGACCCGCTCACGCAAAACCACCCGTTGTACATTCCAGCACGTCAGAGGCCCCAACCAACAGAATCGGACATGGATTGCCCGACAAAAGGTCGTGCGCCGCTGCTGCTCAAGGCTTGCACCACGCTTTCCTGCGCGAGACCAAGCGCGTCGCGCAGCCCGTCCGCACCACCGAGACGCCGGTATCAGGCGCGCGACCTCCCGCCACGGCCCCCGAATCCGCTCGACCCACTCGCGCTGGCCACCTCACCTTCCGCCAAAACTCGGGCGGAGAAATATCACCCTCATCACAAGAAGCGGGCCACAGCGCCCAGCGGGGCGCAGCGCCGTCTTGCGACACCGCCGGGCCGCCTCAGACACAGAGGACTTTCCCCAGATGCCCTGGCCAAAGGCCGCGCCTGCGAATTCCCAAGCCCCTCCCAAGGGCAGCGTGAGGATGCGGCATCTCGGAACTCTCTATCGCACACGCGGTGCAAGATTGGCACCCCACGGCCCCCGCCCCCCAGCGGGTCCGCTCCAACGCCACCACGCCCTCGCTTGAGTCCCTCGCCGACAGATGCGCGGATAAGGCGGCAGGCTTCCGCAGCGCGACGTAGACTCGGCGAGCGGCATCGCCGCCACGCCGCTGCCGGGCCGCACGCCATGGCACCCACACTCCTTGAGCGAGAAGGCCCGAGCCCTCGAAGGCCTGCGGGCCAGCCTGGAAAGGACAAAAGGGCGCGGCGGAGCCTCACCTTCGCCACTGGGTGCGGTCTCCGGCGCCACCTCTCCGCGGGGGGGTGCTGTGGCGAACCCTGGCCGGGCAATGTGGCCGGAGCGAGGCACGAGGTTTGTGGGATCGCTTAAATGCACAGGTGGCAGTGGATAAGGATGCACTGGGGCTGCGTCACCAGCCTGTGACGGGGATCCGGCGAATCGCGAAGATACGCGGGCGCCCTGGGGGTACGGAGTCCGTACCAGGCACTACGAGCGACCGTGTTGCCAGAGCCGAATACAGTGGGGTGGCCTCTTTAAGGCCGCCCTGAATAAGGCCAAACGGTCACTAAGGCCGGTCAAAATCGGCCATGTCTCGCGGCACGACTTAAAGTACTAGAAAGACGTGGCCACAGGCAGTTTGAGCGTATGGGGAGCGCCGCCATGCCTTGCATCGACGGCAAGAAGCGCAGACTGCCCCACGAAAACCCCCAACTGCCTCGCTACACAATACACAAGTGCTCTGGGTGTGATGGGTACCTCCACGGGATTTTTGGAGAAGTCGATCCCAATGGCGATTCAGAAATGGATCGTGTGTGTAGCCTTTGCTACTATCGGGTTGTTGGGCATAATACGAATAAAATCTGGGAAAGCGCACCCTGGCTTATCGTTCACGATCAGACCTTGCCGGAACAACCCCTCCGCAGTTCTGAATGGATGTGCGCGCTTTTCAAGCGACAGGCAAACCACGAATTCAGTTTGGGGCACGGCCACTCCAACAGACCGCGGGTCAGCCCTCCGACCGCTTCACACGCTCAACAGAGCTACCGTGCTGGTAAGAAAAAGCTGGTGGAGCCTCTCCCCCCACTTGCACGGGTTTGAGGCTTGGCAGAACGAAGCAATGCGGGTGATGGGGGCCGGGGCAAGTGAAAATGCCACCTTGGCTCTAGATCTACGAACGAGCGAGTTAATTCTCAACGTCGCCGCGCCACTTCCCCACTGGCGAAGGCTTCTACAGCCATGCTGTAAGGTTGGCTCCCGTGTCCACGACAATTAGAATGTCGGGATGTGAATGCTCAAGCTTGCCGGGCCGTTTCTGCCCCCGTGTGGCAAGACTTTCTGCCGTGCGGGGCGTTCGCAGTCCAGGGCCCCTCGGCTACCTCGTACACCGGGCACGTGCACTTGAGCCTTCGGCACTATGTTAACACGGGCGCGGGGGCGTTCGCAGCCCCATAGCACCGGTTACCCAGTTGAAAACCACCCTCCTTCGATTGGACGATTGCCTATTGACAGTCAATGCTACCGGGTAAAGTACTACGCTTCTTATTGAGCAACGCATAAAGTACTAACAATATTTTGATACCAGAATACGCTTAAAAATAATCAATATATGGCTTCTACTGCCTTGAATGGGTTGCGGACCTCAATGAGGCCAACGGTCAATAAGGCCGGTGAAATGGGGTCGTCACGGGGCGGCCTTAAAGAGGCCATCCCACTGTACTCGCGTTCTATTGCATGTTAACGTTGCCTGCTCTTCGCTGCAACCGCCAGGCACTCAGGGGGATCAGCGGCTGGGACTTGCCTTAAGACGCGCCACTGGAGTTGCCGCATGATGCCCAATCATCAAGACGCGCACAGATGCACTATAATGCTTGAGATGTTGAAATGCGTGTGCTTTTCAGTTTTAGTGCTGTGCAACACTGCCGATGAACCATTGCACGCAAGCTTAGTTTTTACGCCGTAAAAACTGATGGTATTTACGTTTTTACGCGTAAATATAGTCTTTACGTTTTTACGCGTAAAAATGCGTAAAAATACGTAAATACAACGTAAAAACTGCCCGGTTTACATAAGGACAGTACATACAGAATTACGGAGTACGGAGAGTGGCAGCCAGACGCCCTGGAAGGGACAGAAAACGAGTTTTTGTTGAACACCATCATCGCCCTTGCCAAAGGCGAGGTGAACATTGTGCTGCGGGTGCTGGAGATGGCGGAGGACTGATCATTGTACACAACGTTCATCATGTAACCTGGTGTCTCAGCGAGCCGCAAAAACGTAAAAATAGCCGTAAAAATAGGCGCTTTTGCAAATTTACTCTTTTACGCGTATAAACGTAAAAATAAAAACGTAAACGTAAACGTAAAAACCAAGCCTGATTGCACGGGACGCCCCAAGCGCGCCACCATCCTCGTTCACCTAGTCCAGCCACTTGGATGAATAGGAACAACAAAGGCATTCAGATTCCACGACTCGAGGGAACGCGCCAGGCGTGGAGATGTTGACCTATCACTTTTTGAGATCAAAATAAGCTGACAAAAAGAGCGTAACACATTGAAGGGACAAACCAAGAACGGACTGCGGGTCTCCCAAATTTGGACACCGTGGAATCGTGGGCCTGCTGAAAATGTTGCCTAAAGTCTCAGGACTTTCAGTACGCTGTCTCCCTCCCCGGCGGAAGTCCACCAACTTTTTGAAATTTGCGAGCCCTTAGCCAGCACTTGTGCCCTTGAAACAGTCCTGGCTTTTGGAACACCCCGTGCTGCACATTGTGCAATACGCACAGTGTGATAAGAAAGGGCCGCTACCATACATGCTCCAATTGCCTCAGTTTGTAGGTTCTTGCGGGCGCGAATTTGCCCTCTTGACAAGCTTGCTCACATGGAATGATCAGGGTTTTATGAGCACGACTGAGTACACTGCTGTCGAATAGCAGCGTGTTCCCTGCCTTTCAATATCCACTTGACAATTGCAAGACCATACCTTTCTCGCTTTTAAGCAACACTGAACGGCTGCCGCCCCCCCACCTTACTTGCGTCTTGCGCATGACACAATAGGTTGACGATAATGCAGTAGGCAAACAATTCATGCATCGCCTGTCTATTGCAGTGTCGCCAAGCTATTCTCCGTCCATCTCCCATTAGCCACTCTTTGAAATGAGCAGTTCAAATGGCAAATTTAACTGACTCAACTATCGTCGATCTACTCTAATGTTGCAAATGGATACAGCCAGTTAAGCCGGCGGATTGCGTTGCGTGAACGTTGTCAACGTTCGCCCACGAAATGAGTGAAACCCCTAGCTGATAGATTGGATGCTCCAGAGTCCAGGTGTCTATATACGAAAGTGCCCACGCACCACACCACCACAACAACCACAAACACCACCATTCAAATTAGGAAAGACGTAGCTCCGCCAATCCACACTGTGCAATTTTCAGTTGCAGAATTTTCAGATCCGACAGCTGACCGAATAAGGGCCTTGCCCTTATGGTCGTACAGCACAAAGCCATGAACGCGCTATTTTGCTGCTACAACCACAACCATCCAGGATTGGCTGACTTGGTCCTTGCAGCAGAGTGCCGCATTTGTTCGTGATGTTCCTGCACAATGTTTTGTTATGCGAATTGAAAATCGATGGATAACCTGCTGGATTGCCGTGCAAGCTGCCAGAAAAGGGAGCTTTCATGAAGCGGTGTTCGTCATGGCCCCTGGGGCAATTGATGCTTCCAATGTTAGGTTTTCTACCTGCCCATGTACGTGGATGTTACGTTTGTACGGCTAATATGCACCATCTCTACTCAGCCCTGATCAGTGCATCATGATGCTGAAGCGCAAGAGTGAAACGCTTG